AGGTAACATTTAAATAGAAAGTATGTGAAGCAGAGTGGGGGATCTATTTGGAAAGCATTTATTAGATGACTGAGAAACCACAGCTGTGAAAGAGGGTGATTTTACTTGAATGCTCAGTAAGCCTCATTTAGGTAAAGCTGCGATGAGACATACGAGAATATATAACAAACAAGAAAAAAGAAATTGACAGAAATTCAACAAAGATGATATGAAATAGGAAAAATGAGAGTTTTAAAATACATCGGAAACAAATCCTAAGTATTATACACGTCAATCAAGTAGAAATACCAACATATTCTGTATGTGAATTTTTTGAACTCTGAGCATTTGGAAGGACACAGGATGACTTCATTAATTCCTCATTAATGAGGAAGGATGCAAGACTAATGATAAATAGCAAGGGTCATAAAAGAGCTGGCTGCAGCTTACTCTCTTTTTGAATTAACCTTGCAATATTCAGAAAAAACAAGAAGGCTGCAGGAGAATTAACTTGTGTGAGTAGTCAGAAATCACAGGCAACCTAATGGAAGCACAGATAGAGTGTAAGTAAGTAAGTAAAACTAGCGGGCAGCATTGTGATCAGGTTAGACAGGCTGATTTGATGACCCCTGCGGGCTTAAAATTTATGCAGGGAAGGCTTATGCTTTCCCTTCCACAGAGCGATTTAAGAGTAGCACAGCAAAGGCATAGTAGAGCTGGAAACGGGAAGTTTGATCTCGCGAGTGTCCCTCCGAGCCTAGCGGCAAGGCACTCTCTCTATGTATGCTCCTCGGTGGAGCGCGCAGGTCGGGTGCATTGACTGCTGGCGTTGGGAATCCTTGGCTCCGTTTTGGGAGGCTGCAGGAGTGGATGATGCCACCTTGCTCGTCGCGTGGAAATGCTGAGCCAGAGCTCCCAGCCAGCCTGGCAGATGTGGTGCACCCTGCGCCAGGTCCCCATGGAGCATGCCGTTTCTGAAAGGCTCGGGATTACCCTCCAGCTGGGAAGGATTGGAAAAACCTGGAGCAAGGATTCCAGGGCCTGGTTAGCCTGAAGCAGCGCTTCCTCGTGGTTAGACTTATTCCGGCAGGCACCAGAGAGACACCTAGGGCTAAATCTGGGAGCAAGGCAGATCATGTGGCGATGCAGTAAACCTCTGAGATATCCTGTACAGATGTGCTATACAAACTGTCCTCTGGGTGGTTGTCACTGTGCATGTGGATTAGTGCAAAATTCTGTTCTTTGGCCATGGCAAATTTCATCTTTCCCATTGATCTTCACTAATGCTCCTGCATAGTTCATTTCTGGCTGTTGCTGAGAATAGGCTTCATTTTCAAGACTCTTCATGGACTACTCCATTTTCTTCTTGATCTCATTCAGTACTGCATTATCAGCTCACCCACCCACCCTTGCACTGTTTTCACACACTTGTTTACATTTTGAATTAACACCATCATGCTTCTTTCATGTTGTTTTTCTACTTGAGTTTGCTTTCCTGCAAAAAATGCCATTCCTTTAAAAAAAAAAAAAAAAAAGTCCTTCTTTAAAATAATTCTTGTTTGTTATTTCTGTCTCTTAACTTTTTGTAAGCTACCTGCTGCAGAGATCTGCTGACCATATTAGCTTAGCATGTCTTTGTCCACTCTGTACATCTGGATCTTCCTTGCCACCTCTCCAGACTTCAAGCGTGATGCCTCCGGCAGGATATCCTTGTTGTGTGTTTGCAGCTGACCTTGCACAGTCGGGCCTGGTCCGTAACTGAGGCCTTGCAGATGCTATGGAAATACACACGGTAAATATTAAATCCAACATCTGTTCCCAGGCCTTCCGCACAAAATCTCGCTGCGTTTGGGTTGATAAAGTTCATGATGTGGAGACTTAGCTGTTGGGAAGCCAAGGCAGCGATTGAGTAAGTTAGTTGAAAGAAGCCTTTTCCCTTAGATAGGATGGCCCTGGCGGTGGTGTTTTTAAGGACACTTGCCACTAGCAGTTAGTAAAGTCTCCTTCTACTAACATGCAGTTATTGCTCACTAAACGTAATGCTAGTTTTGCTGCTAAGTCCTGCTCCACGGAGCTGGCCCTTTTGCCTCTGCCCAGGCCTGATTTCAAGGTAGAGACTGCTGGTTAGAGACAGGCGTTTTCCCTCCGGTCTCTAGGGCATCTTTAGCTGGGTGCCGGGTTTCAGTTTGGGTTTCCTGTTTTCTCCTATTGGGGGTATGTGGCTGGTTTGGAAACTATCCTTCCTGCAAGCAGCACTGCTTTTTCCTCGGCCCAGGCAGATCTGACTCGTCACTGTTTGATGCTGATGCTTTTAGTTTGTTTGTTGCTGTTGCTGTGCAACAGGAAGGGCTAGAAACAGCAGCACGACTTCAGCGGGAGTTATGGGCCGAGTCGGTGTCTCATCACGGTGGAGTTTCTTCTCTTTCGTGGGGATTGTTTTGGTGTGAAGACCCAGCCTGGCAGAGCAGCGGGCAGGACATTTAGGCTAAGGCAGCGATTTCCCTTCCCACGTTTCACACTGCGGCGCCCGTGTGTCCCTGCCCTGTGCACGTCTTGCAAGGTTTGCATCCCAGTGCCCGGGGTCCCTGCTCAGTGCCCTGGCAGGGGGCCCGGGGGGCGGAGGAGGGATCCGTCAGAGCCCCCAGGAATACAAACAAAATATACAAAAATACAGTTGCAACGGTTTCCCTTTGGTCCATGGAGAGCCTGGCCGTAGTGGCTCAGTGCTCGCCGGCAGCCCTGCCGCCTAGCGGGCGCAGTCCTGGTTGGAGCTGGCGTCACTTTGTGCGCTGGGAGCGCGGAGGCCCGAGGCAGGAGCTCGCGTTGCCTTCGACACCTGCCCGGTTCAGGCTCGGCTTCTCACCCGGATTACCCCGCGGC